GCTGCCAACCTGCAAAGTATCCACAAAAATCTTCAGAGGCTTCTAATTGTTCAGAGCTGGACCACAGGTGTATTTGATGGCTTATTCACTGCTCTCCGTACAACCAGGGAGAGTAAAGCATTTACAGTCTCTTGTAGTAGGGAGTAAAGCAGGAGTTTTGCCCATGTAATCCAATATTGAAATCACTGAGTGCTGTTTTTTGTGTCTGCTCCCCCCTTCAGAGAACACAAATATCAAACCCCCTTCTCTGCATCCCCCTCCTTCTCTTCAAGGCCCAAAGAAAAAGTGTATAACTACAAAGGAGACGGCAGGAAATGTTTAGGTAGGAATTGCAGATACAGGTTGATAAATCAGAAAAGTCTCTCCAAGGATATATAAAAAAGCAGATACCTCCACTTCTGTTTTTTTGTTGGTTTTCAGAAACTGCCAGTTTCCCAGTTTGCAAGTGACAAATAACTTAGAGGCTGTTGCCAATGTAGCGCTTAGCACCCATTAGCTGAGTCATCACAGGATTGACTATGGTTGCTTATTGCTTCAGAACCACCACATAGGCATAATTGAGTTCCTTCTCCTAAAATGCAGGGACTAACCTCCTGAAATTATGATTACAAAGTTGGAGCAAGGACTGTATTGTTATCCTGGTTTAATAGAGAATACACCACATTATGGGCTTTTATAAAGAAAAGAAGATGTTGCAGTAGAGAAAGTCATCAGCTGGTTTTCTATTGCTAGCAAAGACCTAACACACCTGACCCCTACCACTTCAGCAGAGAGGAAAGGAGGAAAGCAGTGATAGAGAGAATCCAGTTTATTGCTGCTCTTTCCAAATATATTCTATACATGCACCTACAAATACATACACAAACTACAAAATAAGTAGTAGAGCTTGCTGCTCTGATACCGATCAGCATGAAACTATGAAAATGAGAGGTCCCTCTATTAGATGGTTTCCTTTGTTAACGTGTGTGTCTACAGTAATTATGAACAGCTGATAAATTGCCTTTTTACAATGGTATGTAAATGTGCTGATATTGCTATAAATAATCACTCCATACACTACAAGACACACTGCTAATTATTTCTCCCCTACCTCGTTTCCCCACTTAATTTAGTCTCAAAAATTTCCCTCTATTGTGCAGCCTTTATCAGGCAGCTCTTTCAATGCATTATCTTCTTTATTACTAGATGAATATTATTGATGATTTGTTTTGCCATTTCCTTTCCTAGGAAAAGATGTCTTGTTTGGGACAATTTCAAAAGCTATCCATTACAAGTGAAAAACACATCTGAGATGCCAGTGCTGTTTCCAGGGACGGTAGAAAACTATTCTGCAGAGCTGACAGGACAGTGAGCCAGACCCTCATCAGCATAAATCAGAGCAGCTTTACTGAAGACAAGGGAGTTATTTTTCATGTAAGGAGCTGGCCAAGTGTTCTCTCTGCAGCAGTACTGGAGCGGCATCAAACACTGACCTCAGGCTGGAGGAGACATCTCACGCATGCAGGAATCCCCACTGCAATTGCCACTGTGTCTCTTTTTTTAATTATTATTTTGAATGGCTAGAGTTTTATCATATTCCATTAAACCTAGTTCCTATTCTCAGAGCAATATAAATGCTCCCTACTATACAGCAACCTTAACACTAGCAGATCAGGCCTCCTTACTGATCTCCCGTGCCTCTGGGGACTTGTGCATTACTTCTCAAGTAGCTCAGCAAAAGGACCTTCACCCAGCTGATTCACTGGTTCCTGCCACCAAGGGAGTTTATGGCAATGCCCACCCGTAGACTGTTACTCTGTATGACACGAAACAGCAGTAGCCTGGGAGCATATATATATAGGTGTGTTCTTCAGATGACTGAGCAAATCTATGCCTTTTTAATTATTATTCTATTTCTCATTCAGTTTATTCTTATGTTTACTGTTAACTCCACATCTCTAAGGAAGTTGTTTCATACTTCCCTTGAACATCCTTTTGGGAACCAAGTGATTTGCATTAATGCTTCTTGGAGAACTAGCAAAAGCACATTTAACCGGTATGTTCAGCTAGTAGGATAGCAGTCTTTTTGCTTCTTACAGATACTTACATATGCTGAATTCAGAGATGAGCCATACTGAGGTCTTGGCTCTAGAGACCTCTGAGAAAAATGTCAGATGTGGGGCCTCATTTTGCTTTTACGCTACCTGGGCTAAAAGTTGGGCTTCACTGCTAATTAAAAGAAACAGGCCAGGTAACGCAGACCTTCAGTCAAATGCTGTTTTTTGAGTGGTTTAAAGTGTTACCACCTGTCATTTTTGTGTTGCCCTCCTGTTCCCCTAACTGGAAGGACAAAGTATGGGACAACAGGCTCTTCCCAACAAGAAATTTCTGATGCTGAGAGGGAATTTTTGATTTCAGGTTGAACCGATGCACTCTCAGCATCAGAAAATCCTCATGCCAAGACTCTGACACCCTTCTACCCCAGAATCACTCTGTTGTGGTTTTTCACTTTCCTTTCCAGGCTGCAGCAAATTTCTTTAGAAATTGCTTTTACACCCCCATTATACCCTTCAACACCCTTGAAGTGATTATTCACTGGTATAAAAATTCTCTTCCCAAAAATTCTGCTCAGTGCGCTTTAGGGCAAGCAGGTTGATTTTGGCAGAGAACCCCCGAAATAAGAGTTCATTGCCAGTGCCACATGCAAAACTTCTCACTCTGCTAGATTGCTGAAGCTCTGTTCTTGTTAAAAATCTGTGAAATGCTATCTCATACCATTGTGTTTTAAAGAACAGAAATCAAGTATGGAAACCAGAAGAGAGAAATGCTGCTCACAATCGCCCAACAGAAGTACACAAAGGGACTTCCAAGCCTTCAACTTCAGTGGACTCATCACTAATCAAACTCTTTGGCTTAAAATTACCTCATAACAAGATTTTTCAAACATTCTGTGATTTATCTTTTGACTGAATCCAGTTTCTTTTCTGGATTACACAGCTAGAGTCATAACAAAGCACAATACTCACCACCACCCACCCACCAAACTAACAACAAACTGAAGGAACACGCAGGTCAGTTATCCAGGGTGATAGCATCCCAGATACCATCTCCTGACACACAACCTTACCCAAGCAATTTTCTGCTCCTTTTTTTTCTGACATGGGGAATAGCATTCTTTAATAGAAAGGCACAAGTAGAACTTGTATTCTTGAAAATCTTTCCAAAGTAGTCTGTGGGCGGTAATTATTAGCAAGAGTTTTTAGTTATTGATAAACCCATAATTGAGTTATGGAGGCATGAGAATAAAGGTACTAAGATTACACATAACGTGCTAAGATAACACAAACCTGACCGACCCATTGGAGTGCAGGTGTTTGTGGTACAGATTGCTGCTGCACATGGTTTCTTGGTCTTCAAACCAGATTAATGTCAATAAGAGACTCAAATTAATTAAAGGCTTCCTACCCTACATGAAAAGGGTGGGTTGGCAGAACAAGGTGAGAGTGTTTTTCATAATTGCAGTCAGAGTTCCTAACAAACACAATTTCAGTCCTGTTCATGTAGGGAGTGGAGAGGTGCTGTGTTTGTGCTACTACTTCAAAACATTTTCTCTATGACCTTCCATCGAGGGTAAAGCACAAAACGGGGAAGTTAATGATCAATTCCCAGAAAATATGAGCAGTTGGTCTTAGCTTGCTGCTGATGAAGGACTTGCTCTACAGTTCATTGACTGTATTCTGTCAAGCAGTATTTGCTTTTAGAAATGCAAAGCCACCACAAATACTGGATTCTCATACGTGTTCAACACTTAATCTCACTAGGGAAACAGCACAAGGAAAAAAATTCCCTGGTCTTTGGCTGATTCTCAGTCCCATGACAGGTCCTTTGCTCTGACTGAACATCAAGCTTTCTGCAGCACAGAAAGGCTTTGTTGTGAACAGTATCCAGACTATTCTGCAGTATTTCACCACTGTGTATTCAGTCAGACCACATTTCCAAATGAGGAGACAGAGGCATCTGTTAAAACACACTAACAGCCTACTTCATTAACGTCCCCTTTTGATTTTATTCACAGACACTGCAAATGGGCATCAAGCATTTTTCTGGGCTCTTTGTGATGTTGTGCATTGGGTTTGGCTTGTCCATTCTCACTACCATTGGGGAACACATTGTGTACAGACTGGTCCTGCCACGAATCAGGAAGAAATCCAAGATGAAGTACTGGCTCCACACAAGTCAGGTACGTATTCAGAAGTAACCCTGTGAAAGTCATGTGGCTGATTAAGAAAGCCTGAACAAGAACAAGGCGTAAAAGGTTGTAAGAGCTCTGATGATTGGCATTTGAAGTGTGACAGCAGCTTCTGGAATTTGAAGAGGCTTTCTTAATGATGGAATGAGAAGCACAGAGGAAACAGTTCAAATATTCACAATTGCAAAGCCTACAGAAGGGACCTTTCCATTTGCACTTGGAACCTTGTAACTTTTGGACACCAGAAGCAACAGTGTTGTTATCCTGAACTGACTAACCAGAACATTTTATCTCACTGTTACGGGTTCCCAAACTCTTGATGCATGCAGGAGGTGCTGGGTAACTTCCTTCATTATTCCAGGGAAAATTATGGAATAAAATTGCTCTAGGTGTTTGCTCTAAAGGAAGTGCTTACTTTGCAGAAAAAGGCACAAAAAGGAAGAGTTTGTATTGCTTTAAAGCAGCACAGTGAAAGAGATCTTTTAGAAAATAATGAAGTTTGCCAAGATCCACTTTTTTTCTGAGGAATTCTAACACCAAGGATTGTTTGCAAACTATTTATCAACCTTTCAGATTGCCCTTCCTTGGGAAACTATGGGAAAATAAATCTGTTGTAATAATAAAGCACAGACATTGCTTGTATCCTTGAATGTGCAAAATAATTTATGCTCAAGTCCATCACACAAAGCCCAAATTGTTTCCTATTTATGGAGCTATTCTTAATCTTGCTTTTACTAATTTATTTTCTTCTTGTCCCTCTAGAGATTACATCGTGCTCTGAACAGTTCATTTATTGAGGATAAATGCCAGCCTAAGACAAAACGAGTAGAAAAGAGGTAGGAAGTTTTGCATGCCTTAAAACACAAACTACAAAAATTACTTTGAAATGAAATATGTTGTGTCTGGATATATACTTATGGATCTAATACACCCCAAAGATAATAGAAGCAAAAAAAAGCAAACAAGATAGAAGTGACGAGGGAAGCAGAAATTGTTTCCAATAGCAAGTATTAAATCTAGAAATTTTGTTCTTTCATGATTTCACACAGCTAATAAAAGCACCTCCATTCTAAAGACAGGCTTTGCATTTTTTTAAGTCCACTGCTCTTGTTTTTAGGTAATTAATTACTCACGTGCTAAAGCACTGGCAGATAACTAGGGCCCTGTGAGATAGCTTCACAGTGAATGAGAGATCAGGCAGTATATACGTTAGAAACTTTTTCAGCTTTCTTATTTTTTAGAATGAGAAATAAGAAAGCTGAGAAGAGGAAAACTCGCTTCTTTCAGAAACCTTTGTCTCAAACAACTCTTGTTGGAGAAAAAAAGTAGGTAACAACCTTGCCTTGTTTTCATAGCCTATGTCTTCTGAGGAGGAGACAATCTTATCTATAGCTACCACGAACACAAGGCATTTTATTAAAACTATGCACTTGCTCAGTAACTCAAAACTATTACTGCACCTTTTAAAGACACAGGCAGCAGTATTGCTTTTCTACAGATAAGTTCAGCCACAGATACGGAAATGAAATGTCTTCCAGGCTGTTGCTAGATATTTGGCATGTCTGAAACCCACGTATGTAAATGTATGTTGTGTTTAGTTTGTCATTCCTGCACTAATGGCAGCAAATGTAAGAAGTAAACATCTATAAGCCTCTAGACTGCCTATATACAGACAAGTATATAAAAGCACATGCAATTAATTTCCTGTTCATTCTTTGATCTTACTGCCCCACAAAACCCCATAGTGTGGCACCTCCTTGCACAAAAGCAACTCCTCACTTTTGATCTTTGAACAGCAGTACCAGGAGCTAACTGGTGCAACATTTCTTCCTCCTACAACCTCATCGCTGGGTGGTAGCATTCACACTCCCACAACCTGAGGCACTAACTCAGCGGAGGGAGGATCTTCCAGAGGAGGGGGCTTTCTGTATCTGTGATGATACAAAAAGCACCAGCTGAATTATTTGCCAGATATTGAGTAGTGCAAAAATTTCCTAACACAAGGAGATGGCTATAAGACTTGCAGAGTTTGGAAAAAGAACCATACAAATATTCTTTCAACATTGAGAGTGAAGATGTGCTGCTGCCCAAAAACTTCTGCCCCCACAGCATCCAGCCCATGCGTTTGTGCAACTTGTGCCCACACAGCATCCAGCCCATGTGTGTGTGCATGCACACCCACCCACCATCCTTGCTTTTCTCATGGTCTGAGCTGCTCTTTGCACAGAATTATGGTGAATTTAACTCAAGACACCCACTAACATGCTACTCAGCTTGTCATAAACACTGATGTGGCAAGGTATGACCCAGGGCTCTCAAATCAATTATATTATTACACTTT